GAGGGCAAGGGCAGAGGAAATTGTATTATCTAAGTATGTTTCAAAGATAACTGTCTCCAAGACAAGGGTTATAACAATGAAATGTGAGACTTATATAATCTGTTAATATGAAGTGTCTGCTAATGATAACAAGTCATAAGAAAAACTATTCAACTACTGTTGGATCCTGATGCTGCCTGGGGAAGCTGTTCTGACAGCTAGTAACCCTTCTACGCTAGCTCAGTCTCTAAATGGGCTTCCTAATAAGAGGAACAGGGGCTGTCTCTGACAGGAAGTCAGTGGCTAGCTCTTTGATCACCTTCCCCTGAGGGGGAAGCAGCCTGACTGGGTCACAGAGGAAGACTATGAAAGATAGTCCTGATGAGACCTGATAAGCTAGGGTCAGATGGAAGGGAAGGAGGACCTCCTCTATCAGTGGACTGGGGAAGGGCATGGGAGGAGATGAGGGAGGGAAGGTAGGATTGGGAGGGGATGAGGGTAGGTCTACAGCTGGGATACAAAGTGAATAAATAGCAATAAATAAAAAATCATATTAAAAAAGAAATATGAACAGTGGACATCTTTGTTTCCAGTCAGATGAACTGATTAAGAAATAAACCTAGAACCCCTGCACAGATGTAGCCCATGGCAGTTTAGTGTCCAAGTAGGTTACATAGTAATGGGAAGAGGGACTGCCTCTGACATGAACTGATTGGCCTGCTCTTTAATCACCTCCCCCTGAGGGGGGAGCAGCCTTGCCAGGCCACAGAAGATGACAATGCAGCCACTCCTGATGTGATCTGATAGACTAAGATCAGAAGAGAGGAGGACCTCCCTTATCAGTGGACTTGGGGAGGGGCATTCGTGAAGAAGGGGAAGGGAGGATGGGACCAGGTGGGGAGGCATATGGGGAGATACAAAGTGAATAAACTGTAATAAAAAAAGATGGAATTGAAAAAAAATATTATAAGAAATAAAGGAATGGCAAGTAGAAAAAAAAAAAGAAGAAAAGAAAAGAAATCAAAGCTCAGGGCATCACACAGAAGATAGTTTTCCAGCAGTGTGAGTTTGGCTTAGAATTCACATATTAATGTAATTTACTACATTAGCAAACTAAAACAGAAAATGATGCTAATTTTGACACAGAAATAGAATTTGAGAAATTTCAATAACTATTCCCAGAAGAAATTCCCAGTAAAGCAAGGATAGAAGGGAACCATCTCAATTGAATTAAGTATCTGCAAGGCAAAAAAAAAAAAGGGGGGGGGGATAAATTCCATGCTGATTTCCCTAGGTTGCCACTACAAAAGACCTCCTTACAGTTTTTAAAGGAAAAAGTATCTGGTGAGTTTCTGATATCTGCAAGCTTAAACATGGCCTGAGACCTCTCTCTTTGATTTTGGCTGGTCCTCATGTCCCCATGTCAGCACACAGCCTTTTTCCTAAGTGTGTGTGCCTGTGACCCAGGACTTCCTCTTCTTATTAAAAAGACAATTTTCTGAGGCATTGCTGGTTTCTTCCCCTGAGAATTGAGATTTGCAGGACATCTAAATCTCCTACGTTTAAGAAACACAGAGAACTAGAGTTATAGTTCAGTGGCCAAGCATTTGTCTGGCATGACAATATGAGGTGATGACAAAGATGACAATTCAGCTATCCCCAGGAGAGATGAGAAAGAAATTCAGGCTAAAATAAGGAAGAAAAAAGGGAACCTGTTTGGAAGAATAAAGTGTTGCACTAGGACTGAATGAGTTTAAAGGAAGATAAGTAAGAAGCAGACAGTATTTAGGTTTCTCTCTGGGCAGCACCTTGACTCCTACCCACAGACCTAACCATTCTCTACAGTTCCCTCACACTTCGTCTGTTCTGTTGTAAACACTGGCCACATTTTTATTACATGATGCATGTAGCTGTGTTCCACCATAGACAGCCCACTACAGCAAACAACTACACTTGCCTTGCTGAGTACCAGCATCAGGTGGCATTGACCATCAAAACTAAGTACATTTGGGACCAGTGGGGAGCAGAGAAGTCACTTGAAGAATAAGACCAGAGAAAAGAAAATCTTCACAGCAGAGCGGGTAGGGAGGAGAACACGTCTCAAGAAGTAATAAGATTGAGGTAAAGGGGAAACTCAATATTTGTTATTAGATTTTATTTAGCAGGAAGCAGAGACATAGATCTCTATCCTCCCCCCATTGGCACAGAATAGTTGTCATCTGCCAGAAGGATGAAAAGACAATTTTATTTCATTTTAAATGAATGATATGTCAGATATTTTTCTAGGGAGTTATATATTTTATATTCTGTTATGCTGTGCATATGTTATAACGATATGGAGATGGGAAGAGCATCGCATATGCTATTTTCAGTTACTATTAGGAGCCTGTGGTAAGGTTACCATGAATTAATACAAACTGAGAATCAGTAGAATTTTAGCAGTTTGAGATGAGGCTTGAACCTGGCTCATCCTTGTAGACAACATCATGCTATTCTAGAAAAACTGTTGGTCTTAAAATGTGAACACCAGATTCTGGATTCCAATGGTCTGCAAACATGTTACTTATCCTCCAGACTTTCTTTTATTTTTTATTAAATTGAGGTAAAAGCACTATAACTTGACATCATTCGTAGGTAAGTTTTATGTGTGTGCACACAGAATGGCAGATGGCATCATGCTGGCACATAGCTGCCTCTGGCATTGCAAGCACTCTTCTTGACAGCACTGTGCTCTAAGAGGAACAGGTATTTAGACACAGCAAGGATCAGCATACCAATGTTTGAAAACCTTTCAATAATCTCTTCTTCTGCACTTACGGTGTTCAACGGAATCAGCCTCAAAGGGCAGCTATGAAAATCTCTATCCTGTCATCTCTTATGGAGATGAACAGTGTGTTATGGAAAGAACAGTGCTAAGAGCCCATCTGTTCTTAAGTAATGTAGTCTTAAGGGTCTGTGAGCTATGCATGCATGAAGATTATGTTTTATTTTACATTGTTTCATTTTGGTATTTAAATATATTATCTGGGGTAGGCCTGTTTGCATGACATGTAAGCTTCTGAAGTATTCTTAGCCCATCTTTGTTAAAGGTTAAGGAAACTCATTTTTAGTCAATTAGTCTTGCTGACTAATTTTCTGTCACACACTGAGAAGTAATCCTCAATATCCAGAGAGCAGATTGAAACAGATTTTTATAATTCACAAAATCATACTGGTGTTCTTATAACTTAGAAAGAAAGATTAAAATCTAAAAGATGTGAAGATAGCACACCCTACAAATGGAATTTGGGGTGTTAAAACTAGAAGCAGAGGCAGTTTTAAACAATAACCTGCAGTGATTTGATTCCAAGAACAGCTTTAGGAAAACAGATTTCAAATAGCATACCATTTACACTTTCACAGAATGCTTAAAATTAAACATTTATTCTCAGTTACAATTTGCATGGTTATTTTTCATAACAAACTATTGAGTGTAGCAAAACTATTAAATATCTACACAGTTTATCTCACAGAGTCCAAAATTGAGAAGCTTGAGATTGTTGTTGGTATATTCATAAAGACCCAATGGAGAGAGATGCCACTGTGCTTAAAAGCAAAGACAGATTGTCACAATCATTCCGTGGGGTGCAGGCAGTGCTCATACAGACTTCTGCCTCTCAGGCCAAGTCCTGGTGCTCAGTCCCTAGAAGGCATTCAGAGAGTATCTGTGGCATTTATAAGGTTAAATTTATGCAATATATTTTATAATTCAGAAGTTACACAAGAGCTGAAGTCTAGAAAAATCTAAACATCTTTTAGGACAAGCTATAATGATTTAAAAACTACTTTGTGCTGTGTTCTGGAAATGCGAACTCGTTGCTTATTTGTGGGGGGGGTAGCGCTCCTTTTTACTAGGTTAGTGGGAAACAATGCAGAGAAGTGATAGTCTCTACTTTAAATGTTGGCACTTGCTGGTTTTAACAGTGTACATTGAAGATACCAACCCTGGACTAAATAAACAGAAAATTAAGTTAGGAATCTTCATTTTTACAAATATTCTGGAATCTTAAGGTAGAAAAGGTATTTACTTTTAGCCAACTTGCTGCTCTTGCTGGTGAGGAAATTAAACAGGAAGTTTCTTTGTTCAGATGTTATTATAGTATTGCTCCAACCTTTTTTTCCTAACTGAATTTTTATTATCAAATTTGATGTAGTAGTTTTATATTTAAAGAATACAAAATGGTGTTCTACTTGATTTGTTAATTTATTCAACAAGTGTTCATTGAGTTCTACCAGGTGCCAAAAATTTGGTGTTTGAAATTCATCAAGAATCAAAGAGTAAAAATTTCTTACAATGAATGAAAGGATGATGATGGTGGTGGAGGTGGTGATGTAATGATTTCACAGAATGGTGGATGGTAATGAGGATTTCTGTTTTTATAAAAAGAGTAAAGATTCAAATGTGTGGGAAAGCAAAAATAGAGATGCAATTTAAATAATGTGGGAAGTTATCTTTGTTGTAAGGGTGACTCTTGAACATAGCTTGAATGTGATAATGAAGCCCCACCATTTAGGTAATTTTAGACTTGAAAATATAAGCATACTTGAAACCTGATTTTTCCACATGTTACTACGTGGCAAGAGGTTGCAGATTACAGAAAAGTCAAAGACCCTTCATCTCCCTGTCTCATTAGCTGGGAATGGCATCTCCACAATACTTCTTCTTTCCTACCTAGCTGGAATAAATGAATTTCAAGAATTAGGTTTTGGTCTAGCAGTAACAAGAATGTGGTTTACTTTGAGAATTCACTCCTGGGAGCATCAGAGCAACACAGAACAGAATGCTATGTCATTTATTGGTTCTTAGAAACACACAAGTTCACACACTGCCCCTTCCGACTCTCCTGGGAGGCTGGCAACAGCTTAGCTTTGCCTTTGACTCACTCTGCTATACATCCATTCAGATGAGACATGGCTTATTTTCTGGACAGTTTTCATTAATCTTAGCACGACTTAACAATGGAACCACCTGTTTCTTCCAGATGGTGTTCCTGGCATCGGCCTACGTCAGCCCCCAGCTGAGTGAGGAGAGCTGTTCTGCTGTGGCTGCTGTGACACACTACCTGTACCTTTGCCAGTTTAGCTGGATGCTCATTCAGGTTGGTAGCTCATTCACTGCCCACCACCACCCTCTTCTAGTGACCCTAGTGAGGATGTCGTAGTGCCTGATATTCTCTGTACTGAAGTGAAAATTATCCCATGCCACCATCACAGATGTCCCATGCTGTGACTACAATAACATTTCTAGTAGCCATGCGCCAAGGAGCAAATGTAGAAAGACTGAAGACAGAAAGTCATAGAAACAGAAGCTGGGAATATAGGCCCTGCATAATAAGGAACTTGAATCATTTTCTCTGGAGCATCATAGAATTTGTTGGAGAAAGAGAAGGGTGGTATTAGATTTAGATTTTAGAAAGATGCTCCATTTTGTGGTTAATTGGAGGTAGGAAAGAATGACTGGGGAAAGGTAATTACTATTGTTAGTTGTACCAGGAGGAGGGGAGAACATTCCTACTAAATACAGAAGTGTCAGGAGAAACAAAGTAAACAACGGTGTATATTTTCCTTTTTGTTAGTGCAGAACTTGAGGATGTAGGGTTGGTTGTCAGGAATGCAGAGATGGAAACTCTGTCTTCCACTTATCTGACATGAATGTTGACTGGACAGTGGCATCTGTCCTGACAGTGAAGAGGGGCAAAGTTTCCTGTCTTTAACAACAGCAGAAGTAGCAGGGATATAGTGTTCTGGGGTTTGGAGGTGAAGGGAGATCACGAAGGAAGGCCCTAGCCCTGGTGCTCTCTGCACACCTCCATCTAATGCTTCTGCAGGAAGGGATGATAATTTCTTACTCCTAGCATTAGTGTTTCATAGAACTTTCAGACCTCCAGTCAGGGAAATATGTCATTTTCTCTCATATCTCTGTCAACAGTTTTAAAAATAAGTCTAAGCCATAAATGTAAAACTGAACTATCTCCTGAAATTAGAATAAGTTATATTTTTCTGATTGCAAGATTGCTTTAGGTTTGCTACGCCGAAGTTTTTCATACAAGACTGTGTGTGTTGTTACTATCTGCCTGTACTGATTCTCCAGTGCTGTACTGAAGGCCTTTGTCTCTGTCCCTGACATATTCCGAGTTTCTGATTAATAACTTAGATGAAAACACAGGAAACTGCCTATCAGTTTTGAAGATATACAGAGATAACAGCATAGTTACAACAGGAAGACGCTTGTGTAAAACTCAAGGTAGAACCAATATAGAGGACCTGTAGTTCCAGATTGCATACTTAAAGAAGGCTATCGCTGATGAAACAAAATGTAGATGGCTGAAATTTTTACTTTGACATAAACTCAGTGGCAGTGTGAAGCATGAACAGAGTATCGCGTAGACCCAGGTTACACGTTACAATACAAAGGCGACTGTGGCTGCACTGTAGTCTGTAATGCAATGCCGTCCTAGGCTCACGGGAACCATGTTCACAGTTCACACACTAGCATGTGAGGAATCAGAAGGTAGTAGCTTGGAAAGGGTCTGGGGAGATGCTTCTGTGTGCGGTACCAGGAGACATGCTGCAAGAGAGGAAATCCGGACCAGGCATCTGCCTTTGGCAGGACCAGAGCAAATGGATCAAATGTTAGGAAGTGAAAAATCTCATTCAAGTTAAGAGCATTCTCAGTCAATAATTCTATCAGAGTTGAAGAGACTATTTCTGGAAGCATAGTGAATCACATCACTAAAGTACATTCAAGAGAGAAATGACTTTCACATGTATTTCGAGTAGAGTCCCTCCTTTGGGAGATATTAAACAAGATGCTGCATAAGATTTAAGCAAAGGAAATGGGGATTGGTTTATCCCATGCCTGCTTTTCTGGTCAGTAGAGAAATCTGACTGTGGCTAAAGCTTACTGAGTAGACTAGTTATGTTTCTGTGTGGCTTGTGATTTAGGAAAATGGCTGCAAGTGGCAGCGAAATGTAAAACATTTCTCATGGTGCACCACACATCCTTCATGGTTTGTGGTGTGACCACAAGGGGGAAATCCAGCAACTTCTGAATTTTAGGCAGGTTACTTCTAATAAGCCATTTTAGGGCCAGAGGTTGTCATTTTATCAACCCGTACTTTCCATTTATACAATGCTGTGTGCTAAAACCATTTTAAAAAAAAAAACCTGATTCTATCTTTAAAAGCACTGTGTAATAAAATAAGCTAGTATTAGACCAATTCTGAGCCAAAACTTGAAAAAGCATGTACATGGTAAACAGACATACGTGCAGGCAAAATACTAACACACATAAGATAAAATAATGAAAATGAAGGGAGAAAAAACCTTGAAAGAACATTAACCCTTTGTTGCTTCTGCTATCATACTTTTCAACAGTACAGGAAGGAATTGGATGCTATCTATGAGTAATATGACAATGAGTTAATCATTAAATTTTAATCTCTGGGCCAAGAGTACCAGAATTATCAGTGTGCACTGGCGAGGTGGCTCATTGGGCAGAATCTTTACTGTCAAAACAGACAACCAAGTCTGATGGCCAGGACCCACATGTTTGGAAGAAAAGCACTGACTCTGGTACATTGTCGTCTGACCTCCACACATGTCCTGGGGTACCTGGGCACGCTCATACTTACACATGGTAATAGACACACAAATAACATAATAAAACTGTCCTTAAGCATCTTAAAATGACACACTGTTGGTGGTTTTTTGTTGTTGTTTGTATCACATTCTAATGTTATGATAAGCGCTTTATGGCCTCACTTTACTTTTCTGTCACATGCTTTAGACACCCTTATGGTAAAGTGAGGTTTCATTGAGACTGCCGGGAGCAATCTCTTATTGATAAACAAGTTACATAACTTCTCCAAGCCTGTCTTGCAGATCCGGTTGTGGTTACAGCATCTATGGAAATGGTAAAAGTCTGAAGCTAATTAATCTGTGCAGTGACTTGGCCCTATGCCTGGCCGCGTGAGGGTAACATGAGAGGCTCACACAGAGATCTTGAACAGTGCTGGAGAGTCTATTTCTTCAGTTTAATCCAGTCTTTTTATGAAAAGGGGAATGTGTATTATTTGTGGAAAGAGGGGTGACTTTAAGTGAGGCGCACAGGGTCACAGAGCCTCAGCAAGTATAGTCTGTGACCTGTCAGAGTGCCTGCACCACAGCATTTGGTGGCAGTGCAGAAACAGCGAGTTTCCGCAACAACTCACAACTCACAAATTCCCTACTTGTCCAAAGACCTGCCCTTTTGTTTGTTCTTCGTGTACGATCATTCAGCGTGAAGACTGAAGTCACTTCCTTCTTCCTTAAGACACCAGGTCATGTTTATTATAAGTAAGATTGATGGTGAGAATTTAAGAAGTTGGAATGTCTTCCCTCTATGCTGCTGGCTAGTTGCTTTAATTTTCTTTATTTTGGAGATAGCATATACTAATATTTAAAAAAAAATACTTCAGAATGATGTCAAATCTATGGTACATCTCTTTCTTGCTGTTTTGAGTCTTTGCCATTGTTTTTTGCTTTGTCCCGAATGCCATGCCTAAAGGTAAACACTGCTAATGGTTTCCTGCGTATGCCTCCACAAATGCCCCATGAGTAGACAAATATTTAAAAATCCATAAACAAGCACACATGTGTGTCCTTGTGATTGTATATACTTTTGTGTGTGAGTGTATGTATATATTTATGTTTGGAAGTCTTTTCTTTTACAGTTCAACTAGACTCTTTCCTATGCTACAATGTAGTTATTCTGCCATTTATTTTATAGTCTCTATTTCTTGGTAATGGTAGTTAGTTTTTTGTATACTAATAGTATTTGTTTGCTTAGAGAGGATCCATACAGTGAATTCCTAAAACTTGTGCCTTTATTATGTGTGGTCACACAAGATATGCTCCTAGTTTTATCACCAGGTCATGGACTAATTGAAGAAATATCACATAAACAGTAATTGTTTGCAATATTCCAATAAAATAGAGGTAAATGGAAACTGTAACTTTGCTTCTGATTCCATCTGGCACAGTTTATGATCATTAGAATCATCATGTTAAATCACTGTAGAGCAGTCTGCTTCGATCACAAAAAACATGAGAGTCTTGCATTGTCTCTGCAATCTGTTTCTCTCATTCCTAAGGTTGCAGCTTAATAAAAAATGTTCTGTTTTAATTTGAAAGTAAAGTTTCTTTGAAGAATGCATTCTGAAATTAGTAGAATAGAATAGACTACAAATCACTTAAACGTATGCTTGAGCATTTATATTTGGTGCCTTAATTTCTCCATGTAGCCTGACTGTGAGAAAACAAACAGACAGATTCTTTATTCCTTAGCAGAGAGTTCCAGAGCATAACAGGAAGAGAAATGCTAAAATTAGCCATGGTTTTCCATTGTCATTGATTTAATTTGAAAAGACTTCAAAAGTATTGAAGACAGCAGACTGATAACTACCAAGATAAAAGTGACCCCAGGAAATACTGAATTATCAGACCTCAAAAAGCCTTGACATTCTTTTAATGCAATAAATAAAAAGAAAAAGGACATAAAAATGGAGCACGGGCTTATGGGAACACTTCTCAGATTTGCATCTGAAACGAATGATTAAGATCATTTAGTGATAGACAGAATTAGCAGCATTGTGACTGCAGGTTAAATAAGATGCTATAAATCTGCTCAATGATTATAGTGAAACAATTAGTAATCAAGCATTATACAACAGCCTGGATACACTCTTTGTTCAGATGAAATTTGTGGAGTTCAAATAGCCTATTGAGCCTATAATAAATGGCATTTCTCCTTTATTTTTACTAACATAACTAACAGTTATATGAAGATGTAGTAATAAATTAATGAATTTGTGTTTATAGAATATATAAAACCAGAATTCCGACCCACTATATCTAAAACAATTAATAAGATATGTGTCTGATTTTCTTGTGTAGATACTTGAAAAGTATGCCTATGCAATAATATAGTCAATGAGCTTATAGACACAGTCTTTAATTTGTTCTTATATATACTAAATCTAGATAAATCTTATTTATATATTTTAGTTATTTTTGTACTTTAAATGGAATCAATTTAAAATTTCCCAGCCCCAGTTATTAATTCTGGAAATGTACTTTTTATATGCCTTATTTCTCTCCTTTTTTTGAAAGTGGAGAAGATAGACAGAGAAAGAGAGAGACAGACAGAGAGAGACACAGAGAAGGAAAAAGAGAAACAATAAAGTATTACAGCACAAAAATTTCCTGAATTAAATTAGATTGATATACATTAACTCATGAGGTCTACATTTATACTCAATAAATATTTGTTAAATTCATGTTTTGCATTTAATATTTTTAAGTTTTCCTAGTTGACTCATGTTCTTCTTAAGAGAAGGCTGATTAAATGAAGTCATCAAGTCTTCTAAAACTCTTTTTGGAACAAATACATGCCATACACATGGGTAGTAGGAATGTATACACACACACACATAGAGGAGGATATTTACAACTTTTTCAAATCATAGTTATTAAAGGCAAATAAAATGGTATTCAAAATATGTGCATCTTTACTTTTTTATTTTCTCATTAAGGATGATTACAAGCAGTGTTTTGCCAGATATAAAATTTGGTTTTGAATACAAGGTACAAAAATTAATCTGCAACAGCTCATAGTTAGGCTTCGGTCATTTATATTCTAATAACCCTTTCATTCTTTATTAAATGTTACCATAAAATAATAGGGTCAAAGGAGAAGTTTATTTTTTTACTTATTTATTTGTTTATGCTAGGAGCATGGAAATCTACTCACATGTAAAGTATTTGTAGGTTATAGAAAGATAAGAAAATGAGGTCTTCTGTACAGGATACTAAATCAGTATATGAACTTCTGTGGAAATAAATCTCAAATATAATTAGTTATTTGTTTAGTTAATGCAAGGTTTCCTATAGCTCAGGCTAGCCTAAAACTGACTATATAGCTGAGGTAACCTTGAGCTCCTGACTATTCTGCTCCCACTTCTTGAGTTCTGAGATTAGAGGCATGCACCACCACACACTCTGATTATAAACACAGGAAAATATCATCTTTTAGTTACAAGAATGGCACAGAGAGAGGGGAAAGAGAGTTGTTTTAGAAGACAAAGGAAATCTAAGTTAAACTGAGGGAAACAAATACTGAAGTCCTGAAAATGTGTATAGGACACTCAGCCAAAGCTGTGAGTGCAGGCTGTCTGTCCAGTCTTGCCTGCAATCACTCTTTCTAGACTATGCTTACAGCACAGCTGCTGCGCAGTTCATATTTCCCTTAGTTTCATGAACAGCTTAGATGATCATGGGATTACAAGGCGATTCAGTGAAAGAGACTGGGCCAGATGGGGCCAGGCTTCGATCCCTGGCCAAACCAGCTGCAACCAGCTGACCAGAGTCATGTGACACACAGAGCTGCCAAGCCAGTCCTGTGCATGGTTGGGGGAGGTGAGAAAGAGCCTGAGTTTAAGAAAGGGAGTTCATGCTCTAGGCTTGCATCCTAAGATATGCCTGCCTAAATGTATTTAAAAAAAAATTAAAGTCAAGTATGAGGACCCATGCCTTTAGTTCCAATACTTAGGAGACAGAGGCAAGAGGATGTCTGTGACCATTGTTGGCTGTGTAGCAGGTCTGAGGTCAACCTGCACTACCTTAGACCCTGTCTCAAAAAGCCCTCCACTAGGGGCTGTAGGAATTGCTCAGTGGTTAAGAGTAACTATTGCTCTCGCAGAGGACTATAGTTCAGATATCAGGACCCAGTACCAGATATCCCCCAAACTTGGGGGATCAAATGCCCTCTTATGGCCTCTGCAGGCACACACATACATATCACACACATACACATAAATAAAAATAAAATAATCCTTCAAAACCTTATCTAAAAACAAATTAACAAACAAGTAAATAAAATTCAAGAAAGCTTTAATGAATTAGAAGAAATCTTATATTGGACCACATGGTTTTTTCTAGAATAATTAAAATATTTTATATAGTATTTTTATTCTTTGATGTCAAAAATGACACATAATGGGAAAAGCTTTCTTCATAGCATATTTCAGTGATTAGATCCTGTTAAGAAGCCATTTGCCTTTTTCAAACTGACATTTGAAATGCTTTTTGGAGCTAGCTTTCTTGAGCCAGGTCATTGAGAATCCAGACACACTGCAGAAGCACTGCAAGGATGAACGGAGAAAATACCTCATCTTATCACGTCCCCTTAGCTAAGCCCGTGGTTGAAACGTCACTGCAAGGTTCAGTTATCCTGGCTGTCAGTTTTCACAGACAGTCATTCACAGTCTGTGTGAATGCAGACATTTGGAAAGTACCCCAAGCTTTCCCGTGCTGAATCGACTTAGAAGCCACGAAAACCCCTCTGCCCAGACACCTGCCCCTTCTGCAGTGCTGGTCTGCCTCGCTCTAAAACTGCACGTGGATACACTGTAATGTCAACAAGTGCTTCAGTAGAGATCTTTTGGTTGGGTGACTCTTCACTCCATAATAGCCGACACTGACGACCTCAGTATTCGGCACACCCTGGAGTCTGCTGGTTTGAGTCTACACCCTCTGCTAAGTGCCGAAAGAGGTGGAGGTTGGGGAATAACACAACAAGCTCTGGGCTTAATCACTTTTAAATAGGAGTTAGAACAAATCTGCATAAGCAACAATTCAAAACATGCTTTATAACTACAGACATATGCAGATGTGCATAAAGATAAGGAAATAAATTCAAAGACAAAAATCTCCAAGGAACCAAATATTTTTATTCGTCCCAAGTTTAGCCTTAGAAAATCCCCCAAGGCTGAAATAGTCCAGATAGGATCTTGCTCAGAAGCCTTGGTAAACAGCATCTAAAAGCCTTCCCACAAATGTTAGATATGCTTATTTTCCACTTAGAACAGGCTTACACTGCATCATGACAAGTTTGGGGCCTCCTGCATGTTTCATCCTTTTCCACATCCTGCTAGGAGATGTGCGGAATCTGATCACATTTTCCAGTGGGGAATACGTGTGCTCAGCACGTTGCACGGACCATCCCTCACTTAATCTTTCCAATAACCTTGGAAATGAGAAAGGAATGAGAGACTGCAAATGCTTTCCCAACTTGGTCCTCCTCATGGAACACATGTGTGTGAATTCACTTTTACCCACATTCCACCATACTAAATCGAGGAGGATGAACTTTGCAGAAAGTAGGTGTTATGGGATGATGCCATTACTGTACTATAACAACTAAGTAAGGCATTAACACTTACTTTTCCTTTAGTTCAAGGTAAGGAAATGATAGAAGACAGAAAACATAACTTCTAGACTTGACTTGGACAGATGCTTGATATGGTATTTCAGGCCAATAATAACATTGACATGCTTTATTTTCCTCATTCCATATATCTAATATTTTCTTACATACTCCTAACTCAAGGCACTTGTCCCTTGTATACTTTTATAGAAGATATGATACAGTTTTAATATAAAATAAATTCTCTTATATAATATAATAATATAAATAATTAAATATATTAAATAATATAAAATAATTTCTCTTATCTATTGGGGGTCCTCTTGCTAGACTCTGTGATTCAAGATAGTAAATTCCTCCCTATCCTTTTCAATGCTGCATCTGCAGTGACTAGCCTGATCTCTGATATTTACTAAGTCATTGGTAAACAGTAATGTGAATGAGCAAAAAAGTACAAACAAAACAAAATAGACCACAATCTTTCTTTTATTTCTCTGTAATATTTTTAAATTTCTTTTTAAAATATATTTATTTATTCACTTTACATACTTATCTCAGCCCCCTCCATCCCCTTCTTCTGGTCCCACCCTCCCACTCTCTTCCCTTCTCAGAAAAGGAGGTCCTCCTCCCAACTACCCTGGCACATCAAATTTCATCAGGACTAAGTGCACCTCTCCCCTGGAGCCCAGGAAGGTAGCCCAGCCAAGGGAAGCGGGCCAGCAGCAGGCAGCAGAGTCCACTCTAATTGCTAGGGACACTCATGGAAACAGAGCTGCTCATCAGCCACGTATGTGTAGGGAACCCAGGTCCAGTCTCTGTGAGCTTTCATGGTCCTCCGTTAGTTGATTCTCTTGGTCTTCACCATCTTTCTTGGTTGGGGCATTTTTCTCCATTCACAGACACATAGTGTTTTTGATAGTGTACCACATACGCGTGCACGCACACACACACATACACACAAACTTGAGAAGAAGGTTGGCCCTCTCATGTAGTAGGTGCTCATTGTACAAAAAGTGTCAAAAATTTTGAAATCCCAGAGCCATTTATTTCTTTATTGTCATCATGAATTTGTTCTTGATGGAAGGTAGTTTGGATGATGGCATTTGTTTTTTCAGAGCCAGGTTTACAAAACAGTCTCAGAAGATTCTGACAAAGTTTAAGGTAGAACAAAGTAGGGAGAAGAGACAATAAACTAAATATTTCTTTAAGTTCCCAGAATATTTTTAATACCTTTAATTTCTTGAATATATGAAATAAAGGACTGTTTTAGCAAAAAGAAAATCCAACTCAAATTGTTTTTCTTAAGCTGGTCTTTACCCTTGTTGCTGAGTGATTCTGTGTGTCTCCCTCAGCAGAGGTTGGTCTTGTGTCATTAATGCGGAGCCCGATCATATTGTTTTCTTCCCTAGTCGGTGAACTTCTGGTACGTGCTGGTGATGAACGATGAGCACTCTGAGAGGCGATACCTGCTCTTTTGCCTTCTGAGCTGGGGGCTTCCGTCCTTTGTGGTGATTCTCCTCATAGTCATTTTGAGAGGAATCTATCGTCAGAACCTGCCGCAGATCTATGGACTGATTCATGGCGACTTGTGAGTACATTCAGGCAGCACGCTGCCTTCTTAGTTCTTTTGTACTTTCACCGGAAGCTTTACTGGTAGATGGTGGACACGGGCTAGAAGAGAGGTAGTGCCACATCTCAGGGGAGCGTTGCTTTCCTAGTGTACTTTGTGAAGCTGGCCATTCTCTGGTCATTCATTCCTTTAAATATAAATCCACTCATTGCCTCTGGAGGAGCAAGGTTTTCTCTGGAGGAGCATGGTTTTTTTTTCTGGTGACAGATATTAAATAGCCAGCAGAAGATTATATCTCAGCATAACAGTTTATCCATTAGACAAACAATAACATACAACAAGTCAGTGTGAAAATTCTGATAATGAATCGATGGTGAACTCCAGTGTTGAGTTCACAGGGAAAAGAAACAGCCCATTTAGCTTCTCAAATGAAATTTCCCACCTTCCTTTGAAGTAGACAGCGTACCATCTTGGTGTCTCCACCTACAAAAGCTTCATGGAACAGGTTTGGGATTTCACCTGCAGAGAGCACAACATATGTTTAGGTTTTATAATAGAAAATGAAATTTTAATTTCTTGAATCAAATACCCACCAGACTCAGTATTAAACTATGGAAAAATTCTAATCTTCAAGCTCAAAATCTTTAGGTTTACTTAAAACATGAATTCACAGAAGGCGTATAAACACTGAAAGAAAATATAGAAATACTGAATTTAAAGTGTAAATTTTTATCATATTTGGGAAAATTTTTACTGCTTTCATGTTGATTCTCAAATTTTTTCAGTAGTCTGATGCTTATTCAATTCAGAAGGAGGTGAAGGAGTGTTGATTGTACAAAATTTAAAGGAATGAGGGTGAAATGCAAGGTGGGTTTATAAAGATACATGGAAGTTTTCTATGTGAGAGAAAGGGGAAGAAAAAGAAGTCCTAAGTTCTACCTTTGACTTGTGTCTTGACCCAGAAATTCATCTTTTTTTTTTTTTTCTAGCTGCTTCTGCACTTTCAGGGACGTCCGCAGTCTCTGTAGAGAAATAGTGCTTACAGAGTTCTGTGTCCCTTTAAAACAAGAAAACAGCAACCAGTACACACAGCATATATTGAATAACGTAGTGTGCCGCATTACAGCACAGGAAAGCGGGAGGCATGGAGGGTGTGGGAGGTGGGCTGGCTGGGGAGGTGTATGCCCGCCTCCACTCCAGCCCCAACTCTCTGCCCTTTTCACTAAAGACACCGAATAGGAACAAAGGAACAGCACAGGAAACAGTTACATCACTGGGGAAAGCAGCTGCACCTTTGACTAGTTTGTTGTCCTTCACATGGGACATCTTCAGCAGGAACAGAGAGCCTGACTGGAGAAGGGACAGTGAGCCTGTCAGTTTCCACTCTGCTCCCATGGACTGGGGAGACGGTTTTTTAACTCCTTCTGCTGGTATTGGAACCAACCTTCTACTTACAATCCTCACTGACTTCCTTGAATCTTGCAGACTTCTACCCAAACTGCTTTCTGGCCATTTCCAGTCATCCTCTCCCATTTGTGCGGGCTGAACCGAGAGATCAGGATGGGTGGACTGTGGCTCTTCTTTATGCCTTATGAAGAGATTCTCATTCTATAAGCACAGCACTGCAGATTAAGGAATCCTGAGGCAGTCACACCCTCAAGGCAATAAACTGCTGTAATCATGCGTGTTTTTCTACGCCATTTGGGGACAAAGTTATAAGAATGTTGTTTTTAAAAGGACAAAGAAAAAAATGACTGTTTCATGTTTTCAAGGAGAATAGAGAGTAATGCCTAAATACAGAAGACATTGTCAGAACAAAAATTATTACAAAGTACATGGCAATAAGCTCTCTTTCCTAGACATTATTGTTAACCCTTTGTAATCTTAAGTTCAAATTATTCTACTTAGACACACACACACACACACACTAATTGTTTCTGAACCTGATATATATAGCTTTGAAGACTGCTTAGCTCCTTTTATTGAAAAAAATAGAAAACAAAACTTTTGTGATTATAAAGCTAAACTAGCTTTCTTGCTCTAATGAAAATGAGAGAAAAGGTAAAATTCTAAATAAGAAATAGCCTACTCACAAGCTTATGAAAACATAATTACCTATGTATCACAAAGGTTTTTGTGACAATGTCAATTATTTAATAGATGTGAAAAATGTTTGAAAGATGAAACACTTTATAAGCAGAAATCATTTCAAGGTCATTTTTGCTTCTGAGCAGTTAAATAATTAATAAGCACTAGTTATTGGCATACACAAATGTGTTTCACACATACATAGCCTCGACACCGATGTTCCAATACATGCATCCAAAGGCAAGACCCGTGACACATGTTCAAACGCACAGGCACACCTTTTTATATTTACATATTTTGTCTTTTTACTGAGTCAAGAAGAACCTCTCATACTGATTACTTTATGGTATTATATTTTACTCATGTAAATTCTAGATGAGGCGAATCAGTGTCTTTTTAAAAATTAGAATATACATATTTTACTATTAAATTTTGAGATGCAAGTTAATTTTGAAAGTTTCTACATGACTCTTTGTTAAACACAAGAATCATGAGTCAAGAACTGGTGGCTAGAGGCAGCTCTTTTCTCTTGTGAACTCCTTGGTAAGACAGGACTTGTTTGGGGGGAGGTTTTATAGACGCATTACATATCTTCCCAGCGTTGATGAATGGGAACCTATGACAGCAAAGCTCATGGTACAAGAAGCTCTCTTGATGCTGTGAGAGAAGTAAGGGCATACACAGGAATATACAAGAGAATAGACTCTTAAAATGCTTACCTTCTCAAAAAAAAAAATGCTATCTGGGTCAGCTAAATAATAACTTCTAGCTGGCTTTAGTAGTTAGAATTGGTAGGCCCAAAATGGCTAACCAATATATTGTAATTTCTTTTCTCCTTAATTCACAAACAACTTTCCTCTTCATGACTAGAGGAACTCAAATTTCAGAGAATTCTGTTTTTCGGTGAGCTTCAGTCTCAACACAAGGGCAGAAATTAGTTCTCATTCATATGAAAGTTTTGTAAGCCTTCATCATCATGTCACCACAAGTCTCCCTGAGGCCTCATGGTATAGACTGTGATTGTGTGAATGCATGGCAGTTACCTATTGGAGGATGATGGCATAGTAACCATGAACTTGTTTTTTGTGAGGAGATTTTTTGAATTAAATCTCTAATTCTTTGGTCTGTGAACGCTCTTAAGTTTCTAACATTGTGTCATTGAAGGTCTTGTTGATTTCATAAGAAGACTTGGTGGGGTCTGATGTCATGTCCCCCTTACAATGTTAGAAGACAACATGTGTGAAACCATCACACCTAAGATTTTCTTAGCAGGGAGGCCCTTAATTAAAGTTACATTTTCTTTAAAATATCTCAACATTCATATTTTCTTTCTAGTTTTTTGAGAACTTTGTAAGTTGTCATCTCTCTATGAATTTTCCATCTTTTAGCTAATTCTACACAGCTGTTATAACTCCAAGTGTCTGTCTTTCCACTCTTTATACTGATGCTACTGTCGTCTGTCTTGAACAATCTTTATTAGTCAGGGAGAAATGGAGTACATACTGAGGTTTCTCCTGCTGTCAGGACTCTACATCCAATTTTCTTTTTGGATATTGTTTTGCATCTTCTTCAGTCACCCTCCAATGAAACACAAAATTCCTCAAGGGAAAATTTCTAATTATCTTGGTAATTTCTTTGTACCTACTTTCTCGAGGCATTGTGTTGTAATCTTTTGAACATTTATTCTGGGGGTGGAGGGAGTGTGTGCACGTGTGTACATGTAGATGTGCATACAAGCAAGTCACGGTTTGCAAATGAAGGTCAGAGGTCAACTTTACAGGAATCGGTTTCCTCTCTTCACCTTGTGGATCCTGGGCATTGAATTCAGGTTATTGGGCTTAGAGGCAATACTTTCTTTCCCTGCTGAGCCATCTCAGCCATACTGTGTTTTTACAAGCTCTCTTTTCTAACAGGTATGAAACTTGGCTCTTTGGCTCTTCAAGTTACTAAATGTTCTGCTATCTATCCTGGTTCCATCCTTTCAGTCCCACTTCCATCCTATCGGTCTCACCTCCATCCTAAATTTTCAGTCACTTTCCATTAAAATTTGGCAAGTGGTCTTGATGGGAAAGTTATGTGCAGAATACAGGACTCATCTAAGTGAACTCTTCTTCACAAGACAGTGCAGTCTCAAATCTTTGCTGCCAGAGCAACTTGCCAGTGCCTTCACACAACTGATTTTGTTTGTTTAGTTTTGATTTAATTTTAACCTTTGTTACTAATTGCCCCAAATGGGAGCATGTTATATAAACTATTTTATTAGGCTAATTAAGCTTTATGTCTATATCTACCTATCTATCTATCTATCTATCTATCTATCTATCTATCTATCTATCTATCTATCTGTAATAATATATATTACCCACAAAATCTATCTATATATTATGTTTGTATGTGTGTGTATGTGTGTATGTGTGTGTGTAATACTGGTTAATTACACACATTTATTAGGAATAGCCCAAACAAATTTTTTTACTAAATAATTTATATAATTTAGACATACTGTTTTACAACATTATGTTGTAGGATAACATGGTAAATAACTGAAAATATCAATGTTCTCTAACTACGTTTGTCTTCATATCATCTTCAGAAACATTCATAGCTACACTTTATAAACTGTCATTTTCTGTTGTTGAGGTTAGGTTGGAGGTGAGGTTAGGCTGGAGTAGAATTACTGTGTTACCCAGTCATCCCATTCCCTGTGAATCTCCCATAAGGTATTGGTGTCCTCCCACAGGAAAGAAGTGCCAGTGTTACTGCTGCCGATTCACAAGTACTTGTCAGCAGATGAACAGATGAAAAAAATTTGCTATTAGACAGAATGAAGTACTACTCATCTATGAAGTATGAATCATGTCATTTCCAAAAAACTGGGTAGAACTAGAAATTGAAATCTTGACATACAGGCAAGGGTCATGTACTTTCTC